AGAACAGATTGGAGGGTGCCACACCCCCAATCAGCATTCCCTCAAATGTCAACACAAACCATATTATTAATTTTCCAAGTTGGTGACCTTTACTGTTGCATGCATCATAAATCTGGCATTTTGAACAGTTTCTGTTCATACAAGAACAAGCTTTGTAAGCCCCAAAGTATCCAAACTCAGTAGGGATAGTGTTCACATGTGTTATGAAGTACATTTTATAGTAAAATTTCTCATGAAGCAGCTAACTTGGAGTTCCTTAGCTCCACTTGAACCCATGGGTATCCATCGGTTACATAGTATCCAACTAAGAAAGGCAAGTTTCCTGGCTCCCAAAAAGAAGGTTTAAGGTGTTGTTTTGCTTGAATACATGTCTTGGAGTATCTCAAGAAGATTCATAACAGTATGGAGATTTTAGACAAATCCCCCTACTTCATGAAGTTAATTTTGATTTCAGCTGCAAAACAAAAACCAAAATCCCCTTAAATTAAGAGATAACAGCTCCCTGTTTCTTCCAATTAAAAAATGTTTCATGTAGGTCACTTATTGCCATACACATGCTACAGAGAGCTCAGAGTGAGGCTGTCAATTCATCATTTTTTCTCCCTAAGTGCTTAATGTGATAGATGGTCTAGTTAGTTGTTTCGTAAGGGAATAGGTGACCCTTTGAGACGAGAAAATGAAGGCTAACCTGTATTAGGGATCCTACTGAGATCAATATAATCTTCTCTTCCCCACACCCTAAAATAGTTAAGGTCATAATTTTTATTTATTTATTTATTTATTTTTTTTTTTTACAGTTACACATTGGGTCTGACATATATCTGAATATACTGGAAACCTTACACCTGGGTTACATCCCAGCTCTTGATTTGAAGTAAAGAACATACAGCATTTGGATGATAGGAAACAATGTTACACCAGCACATCATCAGAAAAAATTAGTGACCTTCACTCTTGATTCTGCTGACAAACACGGACACTGAACCTACTTGCAGCCAGGATGCTAGTGTAATTTCTGGAAGACAATCTAATATAGATCCAAAAATTGTTTTTCTTCATCTATACATGGGTTGTCTGAACTGAAGAACATGGCTTTTTAAAATCAACTGTTTAGCATGCCAACATGAAATGCAGCCAAATAGTCTCTTTTTCTTTTAACATGGAATCTGCAATAGCAAAAAAGAAATCAGCATTTTTATTGATTTTCATAATCATCATCTCTGGGGCTTAAACTCGCTAGATTGCTAAATGGTAATTCTCTAATGCTAGGGAATCTTTCCATTTAATTATATGCCCTTCCTTGTAGAGGGTACTGTTCTTAACTTTCCAAAGGGCCACTGTAATGAAAGTCTGGCACAAATGCCGCCCCCCCTCACCCCCCAACTAAGTAATTCCCCAAAATTGCAAACAAATTCTTGTATCTTTCATATGGGAAATCAAAGGGACTTAAGTCTTCTTAGAACAAAATAATTTCCCAGTGTCTTACAAGATGCAGACACCCCAACATTTCAGAATTTTGATATGGTGTCAAAGATCTCTGATCAACTATTCCCTCCTCCAGTTTTTCCTGTAGTAAGCATGTTATGAACATAAACAAAAACAGACCATATACTGCAGCAATTATGACTTCTAGAGAGAAAAAAAATCTTCCTCGTATGTCAAACATTTTAAAGGGGTAATTCAACCTCAGGTAAAAGTGTCTATGAATTTTGCCATAATTCATTTGGAGAAATTAATTTGATCTCACTATTGCTGTTTCTCAGTCATTCTTCAGAAGAGACGCACACAAATAATCACTTTTTAAACAAGAAGTTAAGCTTTTAAAGTTCCTCCAAACCGATAGCTCTTGAAAACAAAATAAATGCTAATAATCAAATTAAGCAAAAATTGTCTATTTAATTAGTTTGTCTGGACAATTTACTACTAGCCAAATTCTGCAATTCTTCAAATTTATTTTAATGGGAACTTTGTTCAATTACGACCCACATATTTTGGTCCAATTAATGTAGTTCTGTCTATTGGGAAAAAATGTGGAGGAACACTACAGTCTAAATACCCTCTGAGTGACTACCTACTTCCCTTTTTTGTTCTCCTGTTTACTATGTCTTGGTATTTCAGATCCAACTGTATTACTCACCAACACTACTAAATAAAAACTTGACTTACTGTTTGAGCTAGAAGCTGAAATTTTGCTTTGGTTTCCCACATGTACCTATTTTGTGATGAGCAGATACAGCTCTTGAAATGTGTGTTTTAATAAATACTATGCAAGCTGACGGTATCAATAGAATTGGAAAGCCTCTAAAAACAAATCTAGTTTGCATAATTAATGTTAATTACAACAACATCTCAATCAGTGACACAAAAGCTTAGCAATGAACACAGTCATACGAGGAAGTGAAAACATGAAACAAACATGAAATACTTGTTTCTCTTTCTGAGGGAGTTTCAAGAACAAATTTCAAGAGACAAAAAGTGTACCTAATACATTAAGGCAAGGAACTATACCACTTGGCTAGACATGTTTTCTAGACAGTCTATTTAGTACAGAGCTTTCCACTGAGACAGTAACAAGTCAGAGGCCAAAAACTGTGGACGCTCCAGATAATACTATCTTCCTACAACATCAGATCCATGCTACTATCAACAACTCTAGGAAACAGACTAAGAGCCTGATCCTACCCCGCACTGAATTTAACATTAAATTCTTCATATCATATTGTTTCAAAATACACACACACACCATGAACACTGCATTTAGGTAGCATTGCCAGCTCCCCTTAGGTCTAGAAGAACTTTGGTATAAGATAATGAATTTCACAACAATCTTCTCTCTGCCTTCCACAGCAATAGAAGAAACCTAAACATACAAAAACTTATTTAAAAAAATTGTTGCATAAAAATGATCAACTCCAACAGCTGTTTCTGATGTAATAATGTATCCCTATCATTCATTAGAGCAGGTTTACCTTTATTTTCAGAAAAGCTTTTGGTGAATTTAAGAAAAAAATAGTTGGCCATCATATTCTTATATCAAGGGGAAAAAATATGAAATACTCTAAAGTCCTGACCCTGCCTCTCTCTCTTATTGGTGGGTATGTTAATATGAGGATAATCACACTGAAATCAAAGGGCTTACTCACGTAGTTAAATGCCACTCAGCATGAGTAAGGGCCTGATGATGGCTGAAATCATAGATTGTTGTGTCACTAAGTATTTGGGGGCTTTTTGGAATCATGGGACTGTAATCACTTGTCACACAGATACAAAGGAGTTAACTTAATTAAACTTTTTAGAGTTACAATAGCAGAAGAGGTAGCCTGTGTAATGTTGGCTCAACAAATCTTAGCTAAAGGGGTTCCATGAATGCAACTGTAACAAGTATTCAGAAAAAGTTAAGATATATTGGGCAACTTCATCTGTACTGCAAGGACATTGGTTGTGGTGCTTTTTAAGCAAGGGACCAACTGACATGAAAAGTAAAATAAAATAACCAAAACATTTACTACCTATGAATAACAAGCATTTTCTTAACCGAGTATGTCATCCATCTAAAATTTCTCCCCTTTTTCAATGGCAATGGTGACAACCTAAGATTTTTTTCACCTGTAAGTTTGATTTTCCCGGGAGAACCATTTAAAACTTACTGTGTTACCTTTTCATAGTCATTGACTAAAGAAAACATGGCTCCTTCCATCTTGTTTACAAATATGTTTTATAGGGGTTCGGCTGAAATTTAGGTGCAAGATCTTGATGTGGTACAAAGAATTTCTTTTACCAAAGTTTAGTGGAAATTTCTTTTGGCTGTTTTTCAGCTATTGGTGAGAAAGAGACAAGGTTGGAATGTTGCAAGAGCGCATAGTTAACATCCAAAGCCCACAATTAAAGAGCTACTTTGTTTTCCCTACTTAACTTCTGTGACTTAATAGCCCACTAGTTTGAAAAGAAAAAGACTATAAAATGACATGGTACTGAGACTGTAAAAGCATCTTCAGAAGATACAGTGTAACTACTTGTTGGAGTTTTCTTTGTTTTAAAGTAATGTTAATTACTTTAACTATACAATGCAAAAATGTAATTTAAACTACATATTTGTTTTATTAATTTTTAAAATACTCTACAAAACAAATGAATACGAATCACAGAGGCATCACCATGTCACACCAGTTTTTCAAATCTAAGTTCAGTCCACCAAAAGGACATTCCAAGTGAAGGCTAAAGCTCCCATCTGATATACTCATTTTCCTGTTATTCAGTAATGGGTGTCTTGCATTCCATGTGTTGAAATACCTAGGCACAGCAGGTTGTGCTAAAGGATGGAGCATCAGATGAACAGATGAATTTGGGTTCAGACACTAAAATTATTTAAGGGTTGCATACTAATAAAAGAAGGACATGAAGGTAAGCTTTCAAAGAGCTGCTCTGCAGTCTCGTTTGGACTTGTGACTTGTCTACTGCTCCATCAAAATACATTGCAAAATATAAAAGGCTTTCAAGAATTAGCTGTCTTATATTCAGTCATTCCCCCTCAACCCATAATGTCCAAAGAAGCAGTTTTAGTCCAAAACAGTGAATGAAGCGTCACTAGCAATTTTACACTTAGTTATCACCAATATCAGATAAACATAAAAAAGTAGGAGTCTAGACAAGCAAGGTGGAGGTGGAGTAAAAGAAAGAAAAAAAAAATGGTAAAGAGAGTAAGAAAAAGTATCATCTTTGCTCATGACAGGCTTCACGTGCAGGAAACCAGCTCAACTTCTGGACATTTGACAGTCACCAGACACAGCCGATCCATGATCCATTCGGTGTGTAGCAGTACTAAGGGACAATGGTCACGTTACACCATTTCTCCCCCTGTTTTCTTTCTCCTTTCCCCCACTGACAAAGTACCCCGGCTACTCAAGCCAAAAGGAGACTTCTCGTTTTTCTTTCACCACCCCCCAAAAAGTGACCCATGACTCCACGCATCTTAAGGCAAAAAGGCCATGTCTTGTACTCACCCTTTTCCCGAAGGACTCAATAATCCAGGCTCTGAGACAAGGGGAAGGGGAGAGGGAGGAAGGAAGGAGGAGGAATAAAATAAAAAAAAAAAAAAGGGGGGGGAGGGAGGGGAAAGAGGGGAAGGGGGGAAAAAAAAGAATGAATATTAAGAATAATAATAAAAAAGAGGAGACAGGCTGCAATGAGTAGGCGCCCAGGTACTGGAGTGGCTTTGCTCTATCCCATCACTTGGCAGTAGCCCTGGACAGGAGGAGACTAGCTGGGGGGGAAGTTGGTGTTGCAGCTGGTAGGGAGGATATGACACTGTAACAAGTACAGCCAGCCAGCCATGTATCAGAGGAGGAGGAGGAGGAGGAGGAGGAGGAGGAGGAGGCAGCCCATGCACAGTAGCTGGGGCAGCCCGGGGAGCAGCAGAGGCAGCAGCACCGCCTGCCTGCACAAGGCATTTAATGGGATTGATGGGTTGTGCAGTGACTCACAGACTTTAGTTAGCCACAGGAGGGGGATCGCCCCGCCCACCCTGCTCCTGGGAGCCTATGCGCACGCCGGCTTGGTGGAGTGACAGCGCTGCCAGCCAATGTCCGGGCAGCTCTCACCCAAGGCTGGAGCGGCCCCTTCGCCCAATGAGTCTTCTGAGGACACTGCCGCGAAGTGAAGGCGTAGGGGGAAGAGGAGAGCCCTTGGGGGGGGGGAGAGAGAAGAGCCTCCCGTGGCAGCCTGGCCAATCCGGTGAGGATTTGGGGTGACGGGCATAGCGCTGCCAGCCAATCAGAGGTCAGGCGGAGGCGGAGGGGCGGGTTGCGGGGGAATCTAGCGCTTTCCTCCTCCTCTTCTGAAGCGGGGGGGAGCGTGACGGGCATAGGCTGCGCTGGCGCGCGGGGGGACACACGCACACCCCCCGAGTGGGGGCGCGTGTGCATGCATTGTTCGTGTTCACACATCTGCCTGCGCACATTACGCTTACACCTCTGTGTGTGTGTGTGTGTATAGCAGAGATGGAAACACGTGTGTGTGTGTGCGCGCACGCGCATGCACACGCCTAATTGCATCCAGCCCCTGCCAGGAGACTCAGGCTCCCCGGGGCTCGGGGTTGTTCTGTCACAGAGGCCCCTCCCCACACCCCGCACTCTCTCTCTTAGACTAGGTACAAACGTTCAAAAAGCCCAAGTTGGAAGCGATCTAAGTTGTACTGTTTTCTGTTCGCGGCATAGTTTCGATTGGTAGTGGACCATACATACATTTGCCCTTGGGGGGGGTGCAAATATTAGATCAGGTTCCACCATTTTTAAACCAGACTCTGTGTGCCGAACTTCTGTTCTGGGTATAAACCAGTTTCCAGTCACTTATACCAGTAAAAAGGTAATGTCTGTACCTGGTCCTGCTGCACTGGCTGCCGGTACATGGCTGGGTCATCCCCGGCAAATAGTTCCCATGTAATACCAACTGCTTCT